GCTGAGACCCCAAAGAATGTTCCTCCTTCCCAAGCTGCGTGATCCAGACTCTGGGATTCGCACTACTTGGCACTTCTCCGCCCGCACTCCAGAAGCACGGACCGGAGAAATGTGGTTGTGAGAGTTCGAGGCCTCTGGAGGAACCACCGACACCTGGCCTGTTGCGACCGGCCACCCACAAGCCTAGGAAGGTGCCTTTGGCTGGACGGTCCCCTGACCGCCAGACAGCACTTACCCACAGCTCCGAACCACACCAGCAGCCGGCCCCAGCGTCCCATCCCTGTTAGGTCCACCCGGCAACAACAGCCCTTGCGGTCGTGGCCACACCCCTGTCAACCTGAAGTTGACAGCTCACTTGGCCACCGCAGCCCTGGCCGCCACTTACAGGAGTGTGCTGCGGCCGGCGAGACACTCACCGGACCTAAAGCCGGCCTGGCCACGCCCACCTCAGACCCCAGGACGCCAGAGGAGGAAAGGGAGGGGCGTGTGGGCAGCGAGGTCCCTACGCTTCCGGGAGGAGCCTTAAGGAGTCCCCACCCAGGGGCTCTAGTCTCCAGCCGTCAGATGTGCCGCAGCCTGCTGGGAGCTGGGGTAGGTTTGAGGCCGGAGAGGAGGTGCCCCACTTTTAAAGCGGGAGCTACACCTCGGACACCAGGTGGGGGCTTCCAGGTTCCTGAGGACAGGAGCAGCGGAGTGTGCACTTCATTTGTGGTTGTGGTGGTGGTGGGTGTGTGGCACGCGTCACCACACGTGGGAAGTACTCTCTAAACTGCCCCAAGTAAGGCCTCATCACCTGCCATTACTTGTGCCTTTCAGTGGTGCCTTTGTGACTGCAAGGCTGAACCTCCCTGCTACCCCCAGAAACCTGGATCTCTGTGTTTGCCTAATATAATTCCTTTGCCCGTGTTACCCCTGTGCACAGCTTTCACTCTGATGGGGTAAAAGACTGGACCAGACGTTAGAAGATCTGAGTGCTTTTAGTAGCACTGAAGGACGATAGATGATAGGTAGACAGATCGATCGATCGATTGATCTTGAGCACTAGTACTAGCACCTCTGGTAAATGGGTGATGTAGCACAGACCACAATTGCTCTGAGAGTTTCCCCACCACCTGCAAAATCATATGAAGGGAAATTGCTCTGTAAGCTACAAGGTACCCTACAAATGTGGGAGCCACTCCCTTCAGGTAGTTTTGTGTCTTGAGTCTTCGATCATTTGCTTAAAATTCTAACTTGAGGGCCGGGTGCAGTGGCTCATGCCTATAATCCTAGCACTTTGGGAGGCTGAGGCAGGCAGATCACCTGAGGTCAGAAGTTTGAGACTAGATAGACCAACATGGCAAAACCCCATCTCTACTAAAAATACAAAATTAGCCAGGCGTGGTAGTGCACGCCTGTAATCCCAGCTACTCGGGAGGCTGAGGCAGAGAATTGCTTGAACCCGGAAGGCGGAGGTTGCAGTGAGCCAAGATTGCACCACTGCACTCCAGCGTGGGCAACACAGTGAGACTCCGTCTCAAAAAAACAAACAAAAAACAAAAAAAACTCCTGGTCTCTATTCCCTAGTTATGACTATGAGATCACAGAATTTACCTTGCAAGGCCTCTTTAGGCCACTGCTCTTCAAATTGTGGTTGTGTAGTTGGTTCTGAATATCAGCATCAGTATCACCTGGGAACTTGTTAGAAATGCAGATTCTTGGGTTTCACCCCAGACGTACTGAATCAGCAGCTTCTGGTGGTAGGGCCCAATCATCCTTTTTAAAATACCATCCAGGTGATTTTTGTCACAAAGTTTGAGAATCATTGGTATTTGCTGATACAGTAGTTGCTTAATAAAACCTATTGGGGCCGTGCGCCGTGGCTCACGTTTGTAATCCCAGCACTTTGGGAGGCCGAGGTAGGCGTACTGCCTGAGCTCAGGAGTCCGAGACCACCCTGGGCAACATGGCAAAACCCTGCCTGTAATAAAAATACAAAAAGTTAGCTGCGCCTGGTGGTGTGCGCCTGTAGTCCCTGCTACTTCAGAGGCTGAGGCATGAAAATCGCTTGAGCCCGGGAAACAGAGGTTGCAGTGAGCCAAGATCATGCCACTGCACTCTGGCTTGGGCTAGAGTGAGACTCTGTCTCAAAAAAAAAAAAAAACAAAAAACGCTGGGCCAGTGGCTCACGCCTGTAATACCAGCACTTTTGGAGGCTGAGGTGGGTGGATCACCAGGTCAGGAGTTCAAGACCAGCCTGTACAACATGGCGAAACCCCATCTCTACTAAAAATACAAAAATTATCCGGACGTGGTGGCACGTGCCTTTAATCCCAGCTACTTGGGAGGCTGAGGCAGGAGACTGGCTTGAACTAGGGAAGCAGAGGTTGTGGTGAGCTGAGATTACCCCACTGCACATCAGCCTGCATGACAGAGCAAGACTCTGTGTCAAAAAAAAAAAAAAAAAAAAAAAAACCCAAAAAATCTATTGGATAATTCTGTGTTCAGCAGCTCCATTTTTGAAGACTGGGTTCTCTCTACCTACTGACAGGGCTAAGCCTTGGCATACTGTTCTCTGATTACCTGCAAACACAGTAAGTAATTCCACACAGCAAAAGACAGTCTAAGAAAGCCTAAGTTTTAGAATTCAGACAAAAGAACAATGTAGAAACTACCAAAATAGGCCAGGTGTAGTGGCTCACGCCTGTAATCTTAGCACTTTAGGAGTCAGAGGTGGGTGGACTGCTTGAGCTCAGGAATTAAAGACCAACCTGGGCAACATGGTGAAACCCTGTCTCTACAAATACAAAATATTAGCCAGGCATGGTGGTACTTGCCTGTGGTCCCAGCCACTCGGGAGGCAGAGGTGGGAGAATGGCTTGAGCCCAGGAGGTCGAGGCTGCAGTGAGCTATGATCATGCCACTGCACTCCAGCCTGGGTGACAGAGTAAGACCCTGTCTCAGAAATAGACAGACAGACAGACAGACAGACATGGCATCTCACTATGTTGGCCAGGCTGGAATTGAATTCCTGGAATCAAGTGATCATCCTGCCTCAGCCTCCCAAGTAGTTGGGACTACAGGTGTTCACTACTGTGCCTGGCAGGTCCCGTATTCTTGCTGTCTCCAGATGTGGACAAAGTTTTTACCTCCCACTTATGATTCTTCCCCATCTCTCTCACAGCAGTCCTGCTCCTCACCTGGGATAACCCACCCCCACATACTAACCCTGAACTAACATGGCTGAAATCAGTCCAGATCAGATTTCCGGGAGATAAAAAACATTTTAATGTACAACTATAGCATTCATATACCTTAGCCCGGGGCAGGGGTTGGGAGTTAGGTAAGAAGGGATGCATTTAGTTTGCCCTGTCCCCAAAGAGGGGGTAAATAGCTAAGCCGCTCTTCATTCCCAGCACAGACCTTCAGAAGCCCCAGGTATCAGGATGTAATGGTAGGGCTCATTCTGCTCCAAAACAGCTCAAACCACCTGCTCCCAGGAAGGCAAGCTTTCTGCTCCTTGGTCTTCTGCCTGCCATTAGGACACAATGTCCTTTGTCTGGCCAGGCATCTGTTGAAAGGCTGGATACAGGACAATGTACCCATGTTTCCATCTATAGCAACTATCCTAGGTCTCTGATACCCCATTTTGGAGCACCGTTGAAGTCAGTCTCTGGAGGTAGTGCTGACGCAGAGGGGGCAACTGAGAATAGAGCTCAAAGCCCTCTGGGAGTGTGGAATTGGGAAGCTTATAGTGGAGGAGGTGCTGCCGGAGACCCTGCAGAGAGGAAAGAAACCTTATGAAGTAGGTAATGAGATCCTGTTGTGGTCTCTGTCCCCCAAGATCCTCTAATATCCCACCCTCCTAATGGCCCTGACCCTACCTCATCTGCCAGCAGCCACGTTTTCTGCAGCATACTCCTGCGGGCAGCTTTTACCTCATCCTAGAAGCAGAACAGGGAGAGGTGGCACTGAGCCGAGGGCTGGTACCAACCACCTCTCCCCCAGCTGGCCCAGAGGCAGCTCTCTTCCTTCCTCTGAAGATGGAGATGTAACTTACTGAGCTCTGTGGGTCCTGAGAGAAGATGAAGCTATTGACATGAGCTACAGCCACAGCATAGAGCACGGGGCACCAATGTGGACGGAGCGCACCAGTAGCCAGGGTCCGGAAGTAGAGCTGAAGGAGGGCCAGGTTGTCTTCGGGAGGCACTGTGTAACACTCCAGGGACACAGGCAACTGTGACAGGGGAAAGGATGTGTTAAGGGGGAGGGTAGTAATGTATATACATCCACAAGGTGCATGGATAATAATCACATGACACCAAATCATGAGGGCAGAGATCAGGTCCTAGACAGACATCTGTCCTTCTTCTAGCACAAGGATCAGGGTTAAAGACTACAGAGCAGATGTCGGGGAAAACTGGGAACTGAGAAGCAGCCGTTAAAAAGAATGAAATTGGCCATGTGTGGTGGGCCACGCCTGCAATCCCAGCACTTTGGGAGGCTGAGGCAGGCCGATCACATGAAGTTAGGAGTTCAAGACCAGCCTGGCCAACATGGTGAAATGCCATCTCTACTGAAAATCCAAAAGTTAGCTGGGCATGATGGCGGATGCTTGTAGTCCCAGCTACTTCGGAGGCTGAGGCAGGGGAATCACTTGAACCCGGGGGTATAGGTTGCAGTGAGCCGAGATCGTGCCACTGCACACCAGCCTGGGCGACAGCGCGAGACTCTGTCTCAAAAAAAAAAAAAAAAAAAAAA